AATAGCGATGGCCTCTAACCTAGGAGCGTTGGCCTCCAACCTAAGAGCGATTGCCTCCAACCTACTAGCGATGGCCTCCAACCTAAAAGCGATAGCCTCAAGCGCAATAGCAATAGCGATGGCCTCCAATCCAATAGCAAGTACTACTTCTCCTTCTGCAGCATGGAGTTTCCAGACATCAAGATGATTCCCTGCAATGTTTCTTAAGGATTCAAGGGTTTAGTTGCGGGAGCTTTTGTTTCTGCATCCTAGTTCAGACGGATGTTTTTCGTTTGAGCTGACAGCTGTGGAAGATTAGTTCATTGAGCCTGCCAGAAAGTGGGCTGCCAAACTGCATGGGATTGGTGAAGATTGGACCAAAGCGACTGGTGTTCATCATTCTTCATCCATCTTTTTGATGACTTCTGGGCGTGTTGTACACTCGTGCCTGCGTTGTTTGACGGAATCTCACCCTTTTCCTGACGCCCTTTTCTTGACGCGTTTCCGCAGGTTCTCGCAGTTGTGAGGAGTAGTTGTGACCCAAACACACCGGGAAACAAGATATCATTTATATAGGACTGTTGAAACGACCCCTCTCATCCCCACTATTGGTGTCAGGCAAACAGAGGAGCTCTATTATTTCAACTGTTCTGTTTAAGACAGATCTGACTGGCAGGATAAGAAGCCCAACAGCAAGGCCTTGAAGAAGCCAAGCAGCTCTGGTGCGCATCTTAGCGGATCAAAAAGCCTTCACCGTGATATGGGAGCAACGCCCGACTGACGTCGGCTCCGCGGCTCCTCCCTTCTCGCTATTTCTTTTCAGTCTAATGGCGATGGCCTCCAACCCAAGAGCAATGGCCTCCAACCTAAGAGCGATGGCCTCCAACCTACTTGCCATGGCCTCCACCAAGAGTCTACGTTATCTTTAAGTGGAACAAAATGCATTGCCTTGTAAGGCAAGACTGGATTCTCAAGCAGGATTCCGCCTTGGACCCACAATCTTGACACCAGGAAGAGTGATTCACATTAATGTAGCGAGAAAGGAGCCAAGAAACCCACCCCATTCAAAGTGTCATCAACCTCTTCATATGGGGGGTTTATTCATCAAGCGTCTACATTGGTTCCTATTTTATCCCGGACTTGCAGTGGAACCCACACGAAATCGCCTGAAATTCATCGGAAGTGAGCCGGTGAGGGAGTAGGAGCTCGAAATGGCCGGACATGTGTGTTGTACCCACCAGGCATTGCGATACATAAACGACTTCTTTTCCTGCCTGGCCTAGTTTGACATCTTCTTGTGGTGGGTCAGAGAGGGCAGACTGTTTCATCGCTTTGGCAAGTTCTAGGCTGTTTCATGGCAAAATGAGTCAGAGATAACGATCTGTTGGATGAGTTCCCCTGCCCTTAGCCAATCTCACCAGAGGAAACTCCAAGATTTGAGGCCGCCGAAGACATGCAGAGAGCGGGATATTGGGATGTCAGACCAGAAATCCATCAACTGCTTACCTGGGCCGGCGCCCACCTGAAACACCCTTGGAATCTGGAGATCCTGAAGATCCCACATCCCACGAGTCCGTACTTGGATGGGGATTGAACTAGGCCAGTAGACTCAACATGACCCAACATTTGTGTAGCCAAGAGTATACCCTGGGTTCCAAACCGTTACCCATTTCGTGTGTTCGTGGCACCCCCGGCACGCGCAGCCTTCCGTGAGGCGGCGAGCGTCCAGGTGCGGGCGCGGGCCCATGCGGGGGTTCTGGTGTCGGGTCCGGTACCTCAAAGACTGTCTTCCTCTACACCAGTCGGTTTTTTGACGGGTCCATGTGAGTTTTCAGCGGGGTTTTGCTGTCAGAAGGTCTGTGTTTCAGGGTGAGGTCGGGGAGAGACCTTCAGAGCAGTTCATTAAAACGAGTCATTTCTGATCTGCAGGGCACTTTTCGAGGCCGGAAGGAACTGGTGACCTGTTTCAATCAGTCTTTCGCCGGGACCCGGAAATCGTGATAACGGGACCGGGCCAGTTTCACACCAGTCGTTGAACAAGCATAGCCTCGGTTTTGTGTGGTTTGTGTCGTTGACACTCCGAGGAACCTTTGAAGTGGACCAATTACCCCATGGAAGTGGACCATGTTTTCTACTTGCACGATGATTCCAGGGGGTGTATCCACATCGTTTGCAATCCCAAGGAGACATAATAGCACAGACACCTTTTCCTTATTATTTGCACCCTCACCCGCCTACCCAGTTGCGAAAGCGCAGGTGACGAGAATGCGCCCCGAGGCCAGCGGGACTAATGAGATCTGAGCGCCACCATGACAGGGTGGAAAGATCCCTTGATGGCAGATCCCAGCAAATATTGCAGACCTGCAGTTGCGGTTCTTAAAGGATGAATCAAAACATCTTCGGATGACATGGACACTTCAAACGATGTTGTTCGGATGACATGGTTCATTGGATCCATTGCGGTCGGAGATTGGAAAGGATCGGATAAGGGCTCTTGGAATCAGCTATGGAATCAAGGCAATCACATCCAAGTCCAATCACTCTTTCTTCTGGAACGCAGCGGGCGAGGGCATATTTCCCGATCAGTTGGGGTGGTTGAAAATGGTTGAAAAGGGGTTTCCTTTTTACTGCATATATTATATACTGTATTGTATAATACCAGTAGAATCCAGTATATATACCCTAGGGCTCCAACCATATCCTCAGAAGGTGGTTAGACCCCCCAAACCCACCCCAACCACCTTCTCAGGAGGTGGTTGGAGCCCTAGGGATATATAATGCCTGGGTGCTGATTATCACGGGTTGAAGAGTTCTCGACTGCAGGAGAGGTCCCCGTCACAGCGGACGATTCTCGAA